ATCAATAGCTGCACTTTGCACAGACTTTCTATATTTGAGATTAGAACATTGAGAGGATATTCTAATCCATATTCTATTCTCACAAAGTTCTGTGTGTGTTTTTCGCTACACCTAGAATTCTAATTCTTGTATAGAATTTCTAAAGTTTATTTCAGTTTTTAGAAAACCCAATTCAGTCCCCCTCTTGGGTTGTGCCATACATATTCGGCACCCACAATCTGGTATCAGAGCCTTGGCTCTTGACTTACCTAAGCTTAACCGCTTAAGAGATAAGATCCCATGGCAACCCCACTTCCTCTTTCTACTCTAAAGTTCTGCTTGATTCTATTTTATTTGCACAACTGTAATCTTTTAGAAATGCAAAGTTGTTAATGAATTTCTGGTTCTAAACTTGTGTGAGCTTTATCTTTATTGAACATTAGAACTCTGGATTTTTGTAATGTGATTATACCAAGTTCTAATATGCTCTTCTGTATTCAGTATAAATCATAACTTGAATTTTAATCTTTTTTTTTTAATATTGCTTAAAGCTTTGTGCAGCAGTTTTAAATACAATAACTGTTTTTCACAAAATCTTTTCAAACTAGCAATAAGCTTTGTGAAGCGATTCTAAAAATAATAATTGTTCTTCACAGAGTTTTTCTAACGTAGCTTAAACTTTGTGAAGCAGTTCTAAATTCAATAACTGTCTAGTTCTAAATTCAATAACTGTCTTTCACAGAGTATTTCTAAACTTGCAATAAGCTTTGTAAGGAAGTTCTAAACTTGATAATTCTCTTTCACAAATGCTTTCTATTTCCGCTGCAACAGAATTCTGATTTTGTTTTTAAAAGTTTAATTTTTGGAAAACTCAATTCACCCCCTCTTGGGTTGTGCCATACATAAATGAGACCTACAATATTTTTTAAAAAATAAATTTTCAAATAGAACATATATAATATTTTATTTAGGAGAGAGATAAAAAAAGTTAATTATTTTTATTAATATTTTTTCTTCATATTTGTGTGATTTGATTGGGTATATTTTTTTAAAAAAAAAAAAATTCTCAAATGGAATACACATAATTAAACCTTTCAAAATTTTAAATTTTTACTTTTCAAAATTTTAAAATAAAATGAATATAAATGTGTGCATGGAATTAGCGAATAGTTAAAAATTTTAATTTAAAAAATATAATTATATTTATTAATATATTTATATATATTAATTTTTTTTTGTGTAGGTGAGTTCTTGTGAAAAGAGTTTATTCTTAATACTGTGTTTATTTTTTCTTTTTTCTACGATAATTTGTAACTATTATCATTTTTAAATTTAGTAAAATATTACATCCTCCGTGCATAAATAGATGAATAAATAGATGACCTCTTGATAATTAAGTATTTTTAATTTTCTTGATATTTCTTTCTCTTATATCCTAAATCTATTTGACTTGAAAGAAATAGCATTTAGGAAACTGAAAAAAAAAAATTAGGACCATATATTTTTGTTTTAAATAACTTTTTAAGGTTCAAAAATTTGTAGATATGTGCATATGTTCTTTTCTCTAATACACTGGGTAAGTAAGACTGCTACTACGGCCAAAATAATTACCATTATCAATTTAGTTTGAAACTACTTTATATAAAAATGAAATTAAATACATAAAAAATGTCATTATAAGTAGCTTGTACGACAAAGTGTAATACAAATTAACCATTTTTTTTATTTTAATTTAACAAAAACTTATACTTTAATATTATATATATATATATAATATATATATATATATAATATATATAGGATATATACAAGTATAGTTTCTAACGTGCAACGCACGTCATAAAAAAAGAATTAGTACAGTAAAATAATATTGTCTTGTGAAATTTAAAATATCTTTAAAGTATAACTTTAGTCTTAGCTAATTTAAAAAATTTAACCCAATTATATATATATATATATATATTAACTTATTGGATTTTGTTTAAACTTTTTTTAATAGATAATACATATAAGATAATTAAGCATTTCCAAAATTTTAAATTTAACTATTATTAATTCCTTATTATGGGTCTAATTATATTTTATTTTCATGTATATTATTTATGTAAATTATTAATAATAACTTAATAATATTTAATAATTTATATATTATTTAATATAATTTAGTTTCAACATTATTATTTTAAATAATATATGTAAAAAAAGATTAAAAAAATTGTTATTTTTAAAAACATCATCGTGAATTGATTAGTTATATTGACATTACTATTTAAGCAATATCCTATTTCCAAATCCTATTTCTATTAAAGAATATAATTTTATTAATAATTTTTTAAAATGCTTTCATGATTTTGATTGGCTAAAAAATAAAAATAAAAAAGATTATAGTGAAAGTATAGTTATTAACTAAAAAAAAAGATTGATTTTTTATTCTATTGTTAAAGTATATTTATTAACTAAAAAAGATTATAGTGAAAGTTATTAACAAAACATGTAAGTTAATTATAAAGCATATAATAAAAACTATGTGACGATTTCATCAATTTGGTTTTTCCTTAAAAAAAATGAAAGTAATTAACGTATAATAAAAACTGTATGAATCAGTACGTTGAATGATACATTTCATATTTAATTGCTATTTGAAAGAGAAAAACAAATATAACACAATATATTGATAACTGTATTTTTATTAGTATTTTTAATATAGTTTTTACTAGGTATTTTTAGTATCATAGTTACTTTATTAGTTTTATATTTAGTTTTATTATTATGTTTTTCTATAAACTTTCTTGATCATATGAATCATATTTCACTTGATCTTGAAGAATTTTGCAAGATTTTTATAGGAAACTAGCCAAAAATGCAAAAGAAGATCAATTGTCAAAGACTTGCAAGTATCAGCCTCAGGGCATACTACCCAGCACTCTCGTGCTATTCTGCAGAGTTCAACTTAAGTCGAAACTTCATATTAAGCCTGTGTTGCCCACATGAAGATATTGTGGGTCATATCTTATTAAAGCTGAAATCTTATTTAGACGCTGGAAGAGTCCTAATTGGGAAGAAATATAAAGCCTAAATAGTTTCCTATCTCTAAAAGATTTCTTGCTCAATAGAGATTCACTTTTCAATAGAGATTCACTTTTCTAAACGAACACGAAGATATTCCAAAAAGTCTATATAATGAGTGAGAGACTAGCCATGATCAAGGTCGAATCCATTCATCGTATATTCCATCTCTTATTCTATTATTTTCTAGATAATTCTCTCTCTTTTTAAGACTTCAAGTATTCAAGTTGGTGCCAAGATTCAAGGAAGCCGCTCAAGCGAATCATTGACTAGTTTTTATTTCCAAACTCTCTTTTCATTTATTATTCTTTATGAGATTATTTACAAGTTTAATTGAGTTTTATTTAATTACTATATCGAACTAAATTCATATACTATAGATTTGATGTAACTTAATTTCGATTTCAATTTATAATATTATATTTATTTTTCTTTATTCATGATATAATTTATTATTGAACTTAAAGCTTCTAGACAGAGTTTCTCCCCTGAATTGATTTATTTCATTAATCACTATCGGGAGAAGGGTGGTTTTTTGATATGAAAAAAAGATTAATAAATTACTATGAGAATTAATAACTTGCGATGCGGAAAGCTATATGATCTTGACTCATTGGGAGTTTTCCATAAGTTAACAACCTTAGGACAACCTTAGGTTATGAATTCACAAACAAACCATAAAACTTAATGATTTAATTTATGTTTGATTGCGCTATTGGAAGATAGGTAATTAGACCGGGTTAAATATCTAACAATACATCGAGAGAGCTTGTTAGTGATCTTAGAGTTGTTTTCTCTATTTAAACAATTAAAATTGATTATCAAAATAATAAAATAAATCAGATAGAATTAAGTGAAGTCAAATTTCCTAGTAGCTTTTAATCATTATTTTCTTTTCAACAATTACTTTATTTTAATCACTTTATTTTATTTTTTAAATTCTTTTTAATCACTTTATTTTATTTTTTAAATTCCCTAGTAGCTTGACCTAGTAGCTTGATTTCTTTTTAATCCCTTTATTTTATTTTTTAAATTCTTAGATTATATTCCCCTTATTATCGTTTAAATAATAGTAGGTTAACATAATTTTGATACTTGGTATACAATTTCCGTGGGAACGATACTCTACTCACTCTTTATTACTTGTTTGTGATTTCGTACACTTGCGAAAAAGCCTGTCATATATCATTTTTTTCAATGACATATTACAGTGTAAAACATATAATCGAAAAAAAAAAAAATACTTACTGTACATATAAAGTGTAACATAATGTAACTATTGTATTTATTACGATCTAAATAAGAATTTATAATTCAGTTGTATATAAATAAAAAAAATTAAATGAGTATAAAAAATGAGTATATAACGATGATAGTCATAAATAGACTAGTATTATTAAGTAAGCAGACTAGTAATATGATATTGTTATTGTTTCATTTGTTTCGCACTATATTTGTATCTTACGAACGTAACCAAAACTTAATTAATAAGCATTTATTAAATCAAATAGTTTTGGAAGATACAAGGAAGACATTACATAATACGAACTTTTCAATTACACCAAACAACCAATATCCAAAAAAGACACTACTTTAGTACCAATATACTTCATTTTTTCTATCAAAGAGTCTAGGCCTATAGCGTGAGGATACGAAAAAGATCTCAACAAGTAGAGGAAACTGCTAAAAATAATTAAAAACAGTAACGGAATACTGGGCCAAACAAATTATTAATGAATTAGTTTCAGATCTCCACTCTAAGCATTATTATGCGGAGAGTGCACAAATGATATCATCATGGCTGCAATGAGAAAAGAAAAGTGGTAGAAAGACCCATGAATCATTCTGTTCTGTGCAATGATTCAGAAAATTTTCTTCTTCCTAGCATAACGTGAAGTCAAGACTCCTAAAAAACATTAATACTGAAGTTGAGGAGGCAAATAGAGAAATGTGCATCAAGAAGTTGAGGAGGCAAATAGAGAAATTGCATCAGCCACTATGAAAACCTTGAATGCTTTCTTATGTAAAAATATTGGAAATCCAGTATCTTGAAAGTTGCCACCGGGAACAGTAAATGCGGTTGTAAACATAATTGTAATAATAAGAGCACCTACGACTGTAGAAGATGTAGCAATTCCTTTCATCCATTTTTCTCCTTCCTCCTTTAATTCCTTGTGGCTTTTTGTAAACAATTGGCTAGGGTTATACTTTTCTTTATTGACATATTGTTTTAATGCAGGATCCACAATACTTTCTACCTCCTACATTGAAATCAAAATTATAAAGGGTGAGCGTGGTGCCTAAACATAATATATTATAAAGTTAAGACTAGATCGTTTAATTGTTATCATAGAAAATTTTTTCGTAAGCTATGTTTACATCCTTCTCATGAAATACAATCTAAATTTCCTCACATAATGTGTAACTTATAAAATTTATTTTGTGTTTATTAGAAATGATCCATTTGATTGTACCCTTTTTCCATTTCAAGAATTTGTGATTCTAGAATATATTCTAGGAATTGGCTTCCCATTTTGAATACAGGGAGCTACGAATAGGGATGGCTCCAATTACAAGATGAGACGAACAATTTTTTTTTTTTTTTCAAATTTGATTTATTCTTAGATACTTAGGAGGATTATGTTATCACAGGTTCCATATTAAGTAATATAAAAATATGAATGTATGTCTTAATAAGTCGTATATTCTTAGATACTTAGGAGGATTATGTTATCACAGGTTCCATATTAAGTAATATAAAAATATGAATGTATGTCTTAATAAGTCGTAAAGAATTACCTTATACCATTGTAGCTCTCTTTGCATTTGCAAAGCTGGACTTGAAATATGAGCAAGTCTGTGTGCAGGTGCTAACATTCCTGCCATATGTAACGAGCTATTTCTATCCTCGTCAGGTGAATTAATCAGCAAACCCTTCCATTTTCCAACTGCATATATAATGCTGAAAACTTTTTCTTGTCGATATTCAATAGCACATGCAATTATGCCTCTTAATTTGATGTTTGGAGTTGTGATGATAGAAGGATTAGCTTTTAGTATCTCAATAACAATTTCAACTATCCCCTTTTCAGTAGCAGTAAATAAGGCTTCATCTATTCCTTTTTCTATGATATCTTGATGTTTTGTAATCGAATTGCCTTCAAATATACAACGTATAACTTGGAGAGCATAGATGTGTGTCAACTTCAGATCATAAATTTGCTTCAATCCTTCAATGAAAAGCAAATAGAGATAATTAAGAATGATAACTTCAAATCAATTAAAGAAATTAATGAAATAGAGAATTGGATTGGATTTTGGTTAATTAATAATTTTTCCAATCAAACTAACATCAATTACAACAACATTAGCATAGTAAAAAAAAAGCAAAGACATCACAAATTAAAGAAAGGCTTAGTGACAAAAAAAAAAAAAAAAAAAAAAAAACTTCAAAACTTTGAGTATTTTTCTTCTCTATTGAGGTATTATTTTTATATTTTATTATTATTTTTTCTATTTATATAAATCTAATGTCATTTAGTATTAACTATTATTATAGTATTTGGGTTATTATGTTTATTCAACAATAATTAATCATCGTTTCTTACAATAATAATCAATCGTTTCTTAACATTGAAATTTTAAAAATTAAATTGTAAAATATTTTTAATTTTTTCATCTAAAACTTTGGATTTTTAGAAAATTTATTATTAAATAAAATGTTTAATCACTTAATAAGAGAGATTTGATAATTGGAACAATTTTTCACATTGTGAACCAAAAAAAAGAAAAATAAATTTAAAAAAAATAAATTTTAAAAAACAAATAATCAAAAACCTAAAACTGTTTCATATCTCTAATAAATAAAAACTCAAACCAAACAATTATAACAAATAGAGGCTAAGCTTTTCTGATATGATGATATAGTACTTAAGTGGTGATAACAATTATAACAAATAGAGTCCATTAATGAAAAGCGCATAATATCATCAAAATTTGTAAATATTAAAACACAATAAATCTCTTCAAATTGGAATTAGCTTACCAAATATGTCTTTGACACTTGAGCCTAGACTTTGGAGCCCTGCAAATACTACAAAATTCAAAATTGAGTCAAATGAAGTCATATTTCATTTATTCTGAAAAAAAAAAGTTAATATTTCAATTATAAAAGGAATATTAGGCAAGAGTATAACAAATTAGCAATAAATTTCTTTGGGGCGTAGTGTAAATTAGCAATAAATTTCTTTGGGGCGTAAACTTATAAAAGCTTAATGGCAACAAATGTTTAAATATTTTCCAAAATTTTTAATTATAGTAATGATTAGTTAGATTCTAAATATGAGAAATTAACTTAATTTGATCCAATATATTCTAAAAAAAATAGTTTTTCTAATATAACTTTAAATGTTTTATTTTCTTGATTAGCGTACAGCCCAATTGATTTTATACAATATGAATTCCAATATTCACTCATTTATAAGCTTCTATTGTTTGAGTCCACAAATTCTTCATTTGCATTTCATTTCTCTTTTCTCTTTAAACCTAAATTTAATACAAATTTTATCTTTTTATGAAATATAAATTTAAAATTATTTTTAATAAAAGAAAACTATAAAACTTTGCATTTATACATGGAGAAAGAAGTAAAAGAAAACTATAAAACTTTGCATTTATACATGGAGAAAGAAGCTGAAAAGGTATGGGAAAAGGGGTTTCTAATTAACTTATTGTCAATCTATTATAATTTTCTAATATAATTATAAATTTATTAACACATTCTATACATTATGTGTTAATCTCTCTTTCTATTCATTGAAATCACTTCTTTGAATATTGTTTTCTTTTTGTTTTTTTTTCGTTTGTGGAGAGATACAATTGAAGCAATTTTTAAAGCAATTTTCAATTACAGAAAAATTTTAATTTTAGAATTTGAATATTTGAGATTTTTTTTTGTTACAATTTTAAAATGTTTAAAATGGAGAACTTTTGAATTTAGTGTATTCACAACAATAATTTCAGTGGGGCATTTCATAAATTACACATATTTCACTTCTGAAACCTTTTCTTTGACATTTAGAAAAATTAGAGTATAACAATTTTATTAGATAGTATAGTAAGGTAACAACTCTTTAGAAATGGACGCTAAGAATAAACCTTCTTTCCTAATATTTTTAAAAATAAATAAATGAAAGAAAAATAAAGTGTATAAAAAAAATTGATACGTTATCATCTCTCATTAAATATCTAATAATTTACCAATATGATAATTAATAAATGTATATACAAGTTTTTAATATATTCAATATAATAATTTATGATCATAAATGTAGTTGGATTATAATTAATTTAATATAATAAATGTATTTAATTTAATATATAAGGAGAAAACTTAAATTTATATCAATTTTTGAATCTAACATAATATATAGATATATATATTATATATATAATATATATATATTTTTTTTTTTTTTTTTTGGTTGCTGACGTAGCGACTATGAGACTACAGCTCTCCAAAACTTTAGCATTTCATTTTTTATTGCTGGAGAAAATTTTGCCTTTTAAACCTTCGAAATTAAATTATTTGCTTTTAATATTTTTACTTGCAATTTAATTATTCTCTTTTAATTACTCGTATTTATATACAAAGCAGGCATGATTTCCTTTGATTGTCATTTAATTATCATATTAAAATATATTATAATTTATCTTCTAATTAAACTTACTATAATATTTATATTGATTATCATAATTATCATTCATAATTATTGTTTATTATTATGAATGAAAATTTTATATTTAAAAGAATTGATAGAGAATGTTAATGGTGAAAATATTTACTAATAATTTTATTATCAATAAATATTCAAACGTTTCAACATTTATTTGTCTTAATATTGCAATTATATAATTGTCTTTATTAGTTTTAAAGGTAACATACTGAATTGCACGTCAATAGCATATTACTAACCTATAAATAGAGATAGCTTTTTTATATTTAGTAAGATTATTTTTTAATTTCTTTTTTAAATTTGAAGAATTCTTACATAATTTTTTTCTGACCTTAGTAAGTTTTATTTTCCTCTACTAATTTAATCTAAGTTAGGAAGAGTTTTTTAAGTCCTAAGAGAAAACGAGTTATATAAAATTATTATTAAGGACGATATATCTCCGTCTATGATTGAATTTCTATTATCTATTTCATTTTATTTATTTTATTATTTTTAGTATTGTCTGAAAAAATTTATTAATTCAAAAATAAATTAATAGTATTGTCTGAAAAAATTTATTAATTCAAAAATAAATTAAATCAATGATTTTTTGAATATATATTTCCTTTCTTTCAATTTTATATAGCTTTTATACACAATTAGTCTAATGTTTGAATTTGAAATGTACATTCTTCAACCTCTTAAACAATTTTCAACAAAGTTAAAAAATATGAAATTAAAAATAATTTAGATTTGTAAATTTTTTTCTTAACTAAATTATATATTTTAAAATATTTAAACAATATCTCTAACATTATAGATAAAGATATTACATGTGCATAACACATGCATATTACTAGTTGGTAGCTAGGTATATAACATTTTTTTTAAAAAAAAGAAATACTTCATAGCATTATCTTGAATTATAAAAATATTACAAGAACTCGGAGACATAATCTCAAATTTGGATACAAGTAGGATTCTCTAGCTAAGGAATGAATCCCAACATTTGTTTGTCTCATAATCTATTTAGTACTAATACTAGATCGGCGACTTAAAATAGACTACAATCTCAAACAATTAAAACCCAATTCATAATTCAAATGTCAAAAAAAAAAAAAAAAAAAAAAAATTCCAAGTCAGAAAAAGTTCATTTCTGTGAAAAAAATTAACGCTAAAATCAGGTTACTATTACTCTTCCAGTTTCTATTTTGAGTTACTTGTTTATTCATTTTTTGTGATGTCTTGTTATTCATTTTTTGGATGTCCCAAAATGTTTGCAAAGTTTCTAAATTTTTATATTTAAACAATTATTTTTTTCATAATAATCTTTATAATTGTCATTAAATAAAGTACTTTTATTAATATCTTACTGAGTTAAGGGTAAAGATGAAAAAAATAATTTTTGTTGACTAAATTTTTAATATGCGTGTTTTGTCAAACTATGCAAACAAAATGTGATGGAAGAAGTATTACTTATTTATGCATATATACATCAATACGTTGCCAATTATTAATCAATGATTTGGTGTTATATTCTAATTAATAATTATAGATGAGCTTTTTTCAATTATCATAATTTTATTTGAATATTAATTTTTTAATTTAAACGAACATAGTATTGATTTGTACGGAAAAACATAATAAGTTTTAACGAAAAATCAAATTGAAGTTTGAACTAAAATTAAATAACTGGAACTTCACAACGGTGGTCTGTTGATATTTACGATCTAAATAGATGAAAATTAATTTCCAATTTAGTTAATTAATCTGATGAGTTCGACTAGAATCAACATATCTCAAATTTTTTGCAAGTCAAATTGAAATTCAAATGATTTTGACTCATTTACATTTTTAGTCATGGACACAAAAATTAAATAAAATGTTCTTGTGATACCGATAGATAATTTAATGGTAGTGTACTTGTTTATAATTTTTAAAGATCCATCCTATTTAAAAATTTCAATCTATCAAAAATCCATCCTATTTAAAAATTTCAATCTATCAAAAAATGTTTAGTTATTCTTATGCCCCTCAACCATAAGAATTATAATTGGTTGTGCTCCACAATTTATTAGGACAAAAAAAAAAAAAAAAATCCTACAGAAAATGAAGAATCCACATGCTTTAAAGATATCTATTTTTCCTTGTCAGTTAAGGAGGAGAAAGAAGATCATACCTCGTAGTAAAATGTTGCCCTGATTCATTTTGTCATTTTGCTCGATTGTTATTCGAACATCAGTAGGAAAAACAGGTAATTGCACTTGAATACCTTTCACCGAAGATAAACTTTCATTAAATAACATTTTAAAAATATTTTGTTCTATTAATATTAATGCCTTTCACGAATATACTTACCAGAGTATATTATATTAATGCCTTTCACGAATATACTTACCAGAGTATATTCGTAGTTTCCAGAAGGATAAACGATTGCTGCTGGGAAATAATTCAGGCATGTTTGATAATTCAATCAAAGGGGTAGTCTTATGAATGGTTCTTGTCACGGCTAATCTTGGGCAACGCTGAATCAGATCCAGTGAAAAGTCTTGTGTTTGTAACAAAGGAAAGAAATTTGTTTTAGTGAAATTTATTTACAAATAAAATGAAGAAAGAAAATATTCTTACCAAACATTTTGCTGAAAAAAGAGGCGCGGAGAAGCTCAGCTCCTAATGTACCATTTGCCGGAAGTAGCAATTCAAATGGAGTTTTGGAGTATAAAAACCAGGTCAGCTCTTTGAAGCCTTTTTGACATGCAATCTTGACCGGTAGAGATACACTTACTGGTATAGTAACCAATTTATTGTTCTTTGTTAATAGCAAATCCACGATCCTCATAGATCCAGTACCAGCAGCAAAACACAAAGCAGTGTTGCCATCGTCATCAAGTATTTCTAAGCCTTCTATTGACATTAAGTTAATTAGCTCCTCTGCAATGTTTACTTTGCCACTTATAGTTGCAAGATGAAGAGCTGTTAGACCGCCTAATGCTATCTTTTTGTTTATTGCATCTGGATGAGCTTCAAGAAATTTTGTAACAATGTTCAAATCTCCTTTCTCTATAGCTTTGCATAGAGGTAGAAAACTTTCGTATTGATCCTCTCCTGAAACTTTTAATCCATTCAAATCGTTAACTTTTAGCTTTTCACACGTATAAGAAAATGATTAATTTACCCTAATTCAATAAATTTTTCATTTCAAAATACCGCAACATCCTTTTACCTTCCATAAATCCCAACCTTTCTTTTATTGTTAATAGGATTCAATAAATGAAGCTTAAAAATTAATTTGAATGGAACAGAGGAAGTGCTTCATTTCCTACAACAGCTAAGATTAATTCCATTCCAATCCTTTTTGACTTAATTCCAAATATATTGGGCATATAAGCGGTGGCCACATTCCGAATTTTGGAACCAGAACCGGAACCGTAACTAGGACATTGCGGTTCAGTTCCAGTTCTAAATTTTTTAGAACTATGAACCGGCAATTATAAAAACCGGCCAGAATCGAAGGTTTTGATAACCGGTTAGAACCGGCGATTCCAACCGATTCCCACAATTTTGAAACCGTTAAGGAACCTAAACTGTCAATTTCCAGTTCGGTTCTGGTTCTATATTATTTGGAACCGGAACCGTCAATTTTGAAACTGTGAATTCAATTACTTTTACCTTCATCTGCCACTTCTTCCTTCTCGTGCATTTTTGCCAAAGTATCCCAACAAACTTTAGCGGAGTCGATTTTTCTGATCTGAGAAAGTTGTTCTGATGTGCAAGAATTTTGAATTACATGTAAAGCAGTTGCATTCTTTTTCCTTCAAATTTTAAATTCAGCTTCAGCCTCTTCTTGACTAGGAGGTTCAATGTGTACTTCTATCATGTCCTATAGATCATTGGCCAACAAATAATTTTTAATGCAAGCACTCCAGTTAGCATAATTATGCTCTGTCAATAATTCAGGAACTACATTTGTTGCCATAACTAATCTGTCAAGTCATCACATAAAATGACAAATGGTAAATTATTCCAATTATTTAAGAATGAGATCTTAAATAATGACTTTAAATGTTGATATTGGGATTAAACTATAAATAAAGATTTTCCCCTTTAATGAACTTTTTTGGCCAATGCCTGTGTAAAAGACTTGATAATAATAATAATAATAATAATAATAATAATAATAATAATAATAATAACAATAATTTATTATTGTTATTATTATATTGCAATATTATAATATAATAATAATAATAATAATAACAATAATTTATTATTGTTATTATTATATTGCAATATTCTGATTATTTCTTATAATTTTAACTAATTCTTCTAATTTTATTAGTCGATGACTTGTGTTTTATTCTTCTAACCAGCATCATCCTACATTAGAATTGTGCAAAAGACTCCCACATTAGGGTTGAGCATAGGAATGTGGAAATTCCGATCCATTTTTAAAAAACCATCCAGAGTTTTTGTCCCAATAAAAACTCAATATTAATGCAATAGTCTTATTTCAAGTCTTGTTCCAAAGGTTATTTTAGGACAAGATTGATTTCTCTTTTTTTCTTTTCTTTTTTTTTTTTTTTTTTTTTTTTTTGAAATTGGCCCATATATACTTTCTTTTCTTTTTTTTTTTTTTTTTGAAATTGGCCCATATATACTAGCCGAATTTCCATTTTGTTCCATTCTACCCTGTCCCGAAAATCGAATATTCACGTCCCATTTTTTCCTAAATGTATTTTTTTAAATATAAAAATGGATCAATTAATTAAATAAATTTTTCAACATAGATTTTTCTATATGTGTTAAGTAAATCATTATGAATAATTTTTTATTAAATAAAAAATTAGAAGATTAATCCGTATAAAGGAAAATATTAATCGTAAGACGTTTAAAAAAAAATCGTAAGACATATGTAAAACTAAATTATGCTAGTCTTTGAATTATTAATTTTTTCATTATACTCAATGCTCTTATTAACTTGAATGTAACAACTAACGAATTTTTTATTATGATTTTACAAGTAGATCAATAATTGAAATATTTGGCTTTGTTATTTTGTTACTCAAATTTTTATTATTATAATTGATAACTAAGGTAAATTTATCTTTTTAGTAAAAAAAACAATTTAATAAGATTATTGGAAATTTTGATTGATTTCTGACTTGATCCACTTCGTTTTGATCCAGATACCCAAGTTTTTGTCCTATTCCAAAAAAATGAGACGGAATGGTACAAGATTATATATTTATCGGGATGATACTAAAACTCCATTTCTTTTATGTACTGATATATAAAGACGAAATTAAAAATTATGTAACTTCCATATGAACCTTTGAACCTCAATATATAACTATTAAAAAATAAGATTTTATAAATATCAAGAGAAAAGAAATTAAATAGAGAAAAGAAAAGGGAAGGAAAGAAAAAGAAGAAGCTTGAATCTATCGCAAACAATTAATTGAAAGAAATTATAATCTTAAAATGAAATGAAAACTGACCCTTTGGAAACTCAATTTGGCTCTTCCTCCAAATTACTCTTCTTCCACCTTTTCTCAGAAAGAACTCCAGCCTCTCTCAGAAACTCACCTTTGCATGATGATTTGCAGTTATATTTATACATCTATAAACAGATCAGTTATATTCATCACTCTTTCCAAACCAATGCAAATAGGTTATACGAAACGTAAAAGAGTTAATAAGGAATAAGTTAGAAAAAGCAAGTGGTTGATGTGACTTTATTTTATTGAATGAATCTATAGCTGAACTCATTTTACCTAAGAATTTCTCCATTAGACATTGGATCATATGTTAATTTTTTAAATATAACCTAAAACTCAAATTAAATTAAAACTTAAACTCCAGATAAATGCAAGCTTCAAACTAAATTAATTCCAAATTAAATTAAGACCAAACAGTCAAACTAAATTAAACCCAAATTTCTTTTTTTTTTTTTTTTTCAACCGCTCTCAAGTTTAGAATTTGATTCCAATAAAGTGAAACGTGGAAGTCAAGTTTAGAATTTGATTCCAAAGGGAAAAGTTTAGAATGTGAAACGTGAATCATATTCATACAAAGGGAAAAGTTTGATTAAGTGAACTAACTTTGTCATGTACAGTCAAGTCAAACCAATATATATTATATGAGAAAGACTTAATTAGTTAATTAATATATATATTAGTTGTACCTTCAAAAATATATATATATATTAGCTGTTTTTTTTTTTTTTTTTTTTTTTTTATATATATTAGCTGTTTTTTTTTTTTTTTTTTTTTTGTTTTTTTTTTTTTTTTTTTTTTTGACTAGTATAACACTAATCAATGCTTGAAAGAGAAAGGGAAAATGAAATAAAGAGATACAAAAGGACCTAAGAAAACTTATATACAGTATATGTATAAACATATCTTTTAAGGATAGACTTAATTATTAACTCTTTATTTCATTCTTCCCTTTATAAAGCTTCCCTTTCTCTTTAGAAAGGAAAGGATGAAATAAAGAGAAAGAGAGACCACAACAAATTTAGCTAGTTTTTGGGTTTTTGGTGCTTATATTGTTGTGATTGATGTTGGGATTTATAGGGTTGTAGCCAAATACGTATTGGAGGCTAAAGGAATACATGAATTCCTTTCCTCTAACAGTAACTAAAGTCAAAGGTGACCTTCATCCACCCTATTGACCATAACTCTTTCTACATATGGAATTTCAAAATAAAATTGGTGTCATTACTAGATAGAAAAAGCTTTCCAAATATATAGGACACGTAAAAGTCCAGATTGAAATAGCCTATGAACTGATCAAATCAAATTAGATTAACCACATCAGACTAAATCCTAATCGTTTGATCATTAGATGGTGACTGCCCAGCCTAGTGGTAACCGCCTAGGCTTGGTGGCTAACCACAAGCATATAAATCCATCCATGCACCGTAAGCTACCTAAAGGTAACCAACACTACATAAACCTCTTTTGTGCATCATGAGTTAGCCACATCGATCTAACCATGGTGCCACACCTTGCCTATGCACCATTGGCTAACCATAATTTATCTGTCTTGCTCACTTGTGATTACCTTCTTTATTTATCAATTTCCTATATAGGCTCGCCAAAAACTCTATAGTTTGACAATACGTATTGATCACATTTATCCCATCTAGAGGAAATCAACATGATTAGGGTGAATGATTATAGAATAATTAACATTTATTTTTGGAACTATATGGATGATAAATTAAACTACCATATTAAATTTATGAAGAGAAATTTTGCAACATGTATAGAATGTGAACGAGTATGAACAGCCTAAGGGCCAACACCAACAGCAAAGCAAAGAAAGAAGAATCGAGAAGCTGCCGCCCTAACCCAAAGCAAAAACCCTAAAAATAAAACACAACATTTCCTATTTATATTAAACCCATATAGCATACCCGTTTCACTTAACCCAAATCCATGTAACAAACCCATCAACCCATATTGTACAGCTGTAATTTTAATTCAGTTACAATAGACAGTATACAATACAGTAGGTGTTTTTTTTTATACAGCTGTTAATTTTTAAATTCAGTTACAATATCACAGTATTACAATACAGTAAGGCCTGTAGAGTTACAATAGACAGTATACAATACAGTAGGCCCTAGAGTAAGCAAATACAGCACCCTTGTAAATATAAATAGAACCCATTGTACCAGCTCTACGTAATTGAGAAGAGATATATAGTTTCTTCACTCTGTTTGTTTTCTGTTCATGGTATCAGAGCCTCCTCTGATATTTGAAGTTTTAGAGCTTTCTTCAAGCTTCCTTTCCTGAAATTAATGGCAGAAACTCATGATCAAAACAATGAAAACACAATTGTACAATCAGAGACTTACAAAGTTTCTGCATCTGAGAATTCAGCTTCAAATCTCATCAATATTTCCTTGAATGGCCGGAATTTCTTATCATGGAGCAGATCCATGACCATAGCCTTGAAGGCCAGGGACAAATATGAATTTGTCACTGGTGAAGAACAGGAACCTGCAGCTGGATCTCCATTGAGAAAGAGATGGCAGAGGATCGACAATCTGGTAACATCTTGGATCTTGAACTCTATTTCTAAAGATCTAGTTGAAGCATTTTTGTATTATACCAGTTCCAAGGAACTTTGGAATGAATTAACTACCAGGTATGGTGACTCTAATGGACCTATGATTTACCAAATAAGGAAAGATATTTCAATAACTGTGCAAGGTAACCAAACAGTAGCAAATTACTACACTAAATTGAAAAAACTCTGGGATGAGTTGGCTTGTTTAAGGCCCATCCCCAAATGCACATGTGGAATTGCAGAAAGGTGTACCTGTGGAGTTGTGAGAGCAGCCTCTGATCTAGATAGAGAGGAGAAACTTATGCAATTCCTCTTAGGACTGAATGATACATATGATAATGTTAAAAATCAAATTCTGCTTATGGATCCATTTCCAAACATGAGCAAGGCCTATTCAATGGTACTAAGTGTTGAAAAACAGAGGGAGGTGAATACTGCGATCTATGACTCAAGTGAGAATAGCAGTGCAATGTATGTGCAAAAATCAAACTACAATAGTAGAAATACAAGTAATAGCTCCAGATTTAAAGCTGACAAGCACTGTGATCACTGTAATGGAACTGGCCACACTAGAGAGACTTGTTTTAAACTGACTGGTTATCCAGACTGGTTTATTGAACTCAAAAAGAAAAAGAAAGCTCAAGCACATTTTGGACAAGCAGAAGATGAACAATCAATTATTAAATCAGGAGACAATGAGAATGATGTATCCAGAATGGTGAGAATGGAGGTCCAGCGTGCAATCAAGGGCAAGATGCAGTATGATGATAAGGCAGGGGATACACCTGTAGCTAATGCAGTCAGTTTTGCAGGTATTGTTTCTCATTTTCATTATAATGTGCATGATAAAGTTTTGCAGGTATTGTTTCTCATTTTCATTATAATGTGCATGATAAGTATGATTTAGTTCCATGGATTGTTGACACTGGTGCAACTGATCATATGACATACATGCACCATCTGTTTCATACATTAACCAAATTACCTAAACCAAGAACAGTGACTCTACCTGACAACTCCACTAGAACTATAACACATATTGGCAAAGTCATAATGCATGACAGATTGATATTAAAGGATGTGTTATATATACCAACATTCAAATGCAATCTATTATCTGCATCAGCCCTTGCAAAGAACAATGCACTATCGGTGAAAACACTACCTAACCACTGTTTGTTACAGGATTTGCAGACTGATGAAGTAGTAGCCATTGGCAAGTTGTTTGGAGGTTTATATTTCCTTGATAAGAAGTGTTTTGTACCCATTTCTACTACTAAAGCTTTACACACTTGTACCAAACATGATGATCATTTGAAACTATTATGGCACCTTAGATTGGGTCATATTTCTATGGCTAGACAAAATCATGTAATAAATTCAGATACAAACAGTGGTTCTTTTGAATGTAATGTTTGCCCCCTTGCAAAGCAACAAAGATTGCCATTTTCAACAAAGATTGCCATTTTCTCCAAGTTGCAGTATTGCTAAAGGCATGTTTGATTTAGTACATATTGACCTATGGGGACCCTATCCTATCATTTCTTTGACTGGTGCTAGATACATGATTACTATAGTGGATGACTATAGCAGATACACATGGGCCTACATGTTACCCAATAAACAACAAGTCCACTCAATTCTTGACCATTTTATTAACCTAATAGACACCCAGTTTCATACCAAAATCAAAAAAATAAGGACTGATAATGGCACTGAATTTGTAAATCATGTAGTAAAGTCATTGTTCCTTTCTAAAGGAATTATACATCAACTATCTTGCCCTTATTCTCCACAGCAAAATGGAAGAGTGGAGAGAAAACACAAAGAAATTTTGAGTGGAGAGAAAAACATAAAGGAAATTTGAATCTTTGGAAGAGTCCCTCCTATCTTTCAGGCTAAGTTCCTGATATCCTATCTGCTGTTTAGCCTAACAAATAGGTGCCTCTGCACTCTTAGGAATGGTTTAAGCCTTTGTGAAACTTAGAATGGTTAAGCCCTTTTGAAAAACTGCACCAAATACAACCAGACCTTAAACACTTAAGAGTTATTGGCTGCTTGTGTTTTGCAACCAATACCAACCCACACAAAGATAAGTTTGACCCTAGAGCTAAACCATGTGTATTATTGGGTTATGGGGCTCAACAGAAAGGTTACAAGTTATATGACATGCATTCTAAGCAGATTTTCTACTCCAGGGATGTTGTATTCAAGGAAATTGTTTATCCTTTCCATCACAACACACCTTTTGAGTCATGTACTTTTAAGATACTGGACTGTTTAGATGACACCAACCCGGAAATTCCAGACCACACAAACACTATACCTGACTCAATAATACAAGCAACACATGAAAACATGATTACTCTTGACCAAACAAGCCAACAGTTTCCCACAGCTGCTGAACCATACATACAGAATAACCAGACTGAACCTCCTCAAACTTCACTACCAGAACAACCAATTCAACCACTTAGAAGAAGCATAAGAACTTCAAGACCACCAACTTGGATGACAGATTATATAACTGATTGTGCTACTTCCAATTACACATGTGCTGATTCAATTTCCACAAATCCCTTACCCAACTCACCCTATTCACATGCATATGCATCTTTTACATCTAATGTCAACAAAATCCATGAACCTTTATCATATAATCATGCTATTTCTGATGAAAATTGGGTACAAGCAATGCAAACTGAACTCAAAGCTTTAGAAGACAATGGTACTTGGATCTTAACTGAGTTACCCAAAGGGAAGAGGGCCATCGGATGCAAGTGGGTCTACCGAGTCAAATACAAACAAGATGGGACCATAGACAGGTATAAGGCTCGCCTGGTTGCTAAAGGGTACAATCAAAAACTGGGCATTGATTACAATGAATCCCCTATTGCTAAAATGGTAACTGTGAGAATCCTGTTTGCTCTAGTAGCTAAATACCAATGGACTCTTCACCAACTTGACATTAACAATGCCTACTTACATGGCTATATTGATGAGGACATCTACATGCAACCTCCAGCTGGCTATTCTAAAGCTTCTACAGGCCAAGTGTGCAAATTGACTAAGTCACTTTATGGACTTAAGCAGGCTGGCAGAATGTGGAACTAGGAATTGACAAATACGTTGATCCAGTATGGTTTTCAACAGTCAGTGAATGACCACTGCCTATTCACGAAAGGGGCAGATACTGACTTTCTAGTGCTTATTGTCTATGTGGATGACATCTTAATTGCAGGGCCTAACATTCAACTTATCCGCAATATTAAGGAGTTTCTACACTCTAAGTTTACCATTAAGGACCTCGGTGATGCACGATTTTTCTTGGGAATTGAAATCCTACGGTCCACTGATGGCATCTACTTATCTCAGCAAAAATTTATTCAAGACATGCTGTTAGATGCAAACATACAGCACACAAAACATGCATCCACGCCAATGGTACAAGGTCAAAAACTTCAAGCAACTATGGGCCCATTACTCACAGAACCAGATTGTTACAGACGGTTAGTGGGGAGATTGCTTTACCTGAGCTTCACTCGACCAGACATTACTTACTCAGTCCAGCAGTTGTCTCAACACATGCAACATCCTTGTCAGGGTCACATGACTGCTGTCTTTCATCTTCTCCGCTACTTAGCTTCCTCAACAAATCTAAAACTGTTCTTCCCCACTTCATCTCCGCTTGATCTTCAGGCATACTGTGATGCTGATTGGGGGGCTTGCCCTGACACTCGACGGTCCCTCACAGGATATTGTATTTTCATGGGCTCCTCGATCGTGTCATGGAAAACAAAAAAACAACAGGAAGTCAGTCGTTCCTCTGCTGAAGCAGAATACAGGGCCATGGCTAATACAGTGTGCGAAATACTTTGGATTGACAAAATATTAATAGATCTGCAGGTAAAAATCAAAAAACCAGTACCTTTATTCTGCGACAACCAAGCGGCACTGCATATTGCCGCCAACCCTGTCTATCACGAGCGCACCAAACATATTGACATCGACTGCCATCTCACTCGACACTACATTCAAACGGGCCTTATCGACCCAAAGCATCTCCCTTCAGAGTCACAACTCGCTGATTTCTTCACCAAACTCTTACCCATCTCCAGATTTCGGTTGATGACTGTCAAGTTGGGCTTGGTTTTGTTTCCCCCGCTCCAACTTGAGGGGGGCGTGAACGAGTATGAACAGCCTAAGGGTCAACACCAATAGCAAAGCAATAAGGAAGAATCGAGAAGCTGCCACCCTAATCAAAAGCAAGAACCCTAAAACAAAACACAACACTTCCTATTTATATTAAACCCATACATCATACCCATTTCACTTAATCCAAATCCATGTTATAAACCCATTAACCCAAACCCATTAATCCATATTGTACAGCTATAATTTTAATTCTGTTACAATAGACAGTATACAATAACCCAAATCCATGTAACAAACCCATCAACCCATATTGTACAGCTGTAATTTTAATTCAGTTACAATAGACAGTATACAATACAGTAGGGCCTAGAGTAAGCAAATACAGCACCCTTGTAAATATAAATAGTACTCATTGTACAAACTTTGGGGAATGAGAAGAGATATACAGTTTCTTCATTTTTGTTTGTTTTCTGTTCAGAATGAATGTACATTAGTAAAATAAATGTGATGCATAATGATATAAATGTGAACATACGCATATATATAATGCGATTAGACTAGTCATATGAAGTGAATGTTACAAAGTTAAAATGACGCGGGATCACATGTAAGAGAATTATGAATGACACTTATAAATGATATAATAGTTTTTTTTATTGGCAAAATAAAATTATTTTGTTATTTTAAATTCAAGAAAAATTTAATTTATTCAAGTAATTACACTCAAGCCATAAATGATACGATGAATAAAATAATAGGGGTCCCACTAAGAAAAGTATATTAGAGGACATTTGAAATTGTGTCCAATACTTTTGGGGACAATTAGCATCGTCCCTTGTGAGTATCCTCTTAATGAGCATACCCTATTCTATAAGGGACGATTTTAAATAAATAGTCTCTTTTTTGGTGGACGATAATTATCCACAATTTAAGTGTTATACATCGCCATAATTGTCTATGTCACGCCCTAACTGCAAGCACTAGAGTGAAGCTAATTCCACCTTATCATGGGAAACTTCCTAAGACGTCACCCATCCTAGGATTTTTCTTAAGCGAGCACATTTAACCCAGGAGTTTTTACAACTATTCAAATCATTCTATCAAATGGCATCTTTAATAATTAGTTTCCCTGTTTTAATATATGACATACTTGTTATGAATATAGGAGATGAAAGTTATCTTCATATGGGACGTAAGTTGTATCCCCTACATATAGGACACCGCTCATCCCCAAAATTGATAACAATAATTGTCCTTAACATACGAGATGTTAGTTGTATCCCATATATAGAACGTCAGTTGTCCCCAAAATTTATGACAATATTTGTTATTAGTACAAGAGACAAAAGTTATCTCAACTACCACATGAGACATCAATCATTCCTAAAATTAACAACAATACTTATCTTTAGTATCGAAGGTATAAAATTGTCCTTTATTATTAGCACAATTGTTATCCTAATAATTTTTAATTAAAATATGAGTAAGATATCGTAATAAATTCAAATTGTCCATTTTGCGTCTTATTACAGTAAAAAGGAATAATTTTTAAAATTGTCTCCTAATTTCAATGGGTTATGATTTTTGGGGACAAATAATATTCATTGTCCCTAATTTTCACTCCCTTTTATCACTTTTTTTAGTGCCCTCAAAGTTATATAATGATTATATTAACGGTAGGGATTGTTTCATTATTATTGAACGAGAGTAAAATTTTCACAAACAAACTTATATTCCTATGAATTATGACGTGATTGATACTTATTTGTCTAATAAAGTATGGTATTATAAGATACTTAGGAGCATTATGAATGGATGTATGTTGTAATTAGTTCCATACAATATTAACTAAATATACATTTAATAGGTTTTACATCGGCTAATATCACAATGACGAGTTAATATGTTCATTTCTGTAGTTTTGAAAAGCCCTATACTGAAGCCATACGACAATTAGTTATTTTAAATTTATGGCTCTTTAAAGGATTATGATGCAATATATCTATAATCTTTAATCATATATTAGAATAGTCATTTTTTGTGTGGATTGGTATGTAGATGTTTTGCCCACACAATGTCGCTACTTCCTCACATCCTCCAACTATTTTAGATCCACTAGCAGCTCCTCCAGGTTCGCACTTTTGATTCCTCCTCCAAATACTGTAACCGCCGCTGTAAATACCTTAATGACTCCTGCATATACTATATCGCATCCTGAAGGTACTATAGCACCTCCTGCAGCCACTTCAGCGGACCAGTGGCATAGATTT